TAAAGGCACGTGTAGTTTAACGTTACATTCTTATAGTATCAAAGCTTTCTGTTTAGGTCAGTAACAAGATTGTTAACTAACCAGAACGGTGTTAAGCAGTTGTAACCTTACAGCTGCTGTTATAGCTACTGCCTTCAGAATAACAGCAACTGTTACTTGCTGGCTGTAAAAACTTGTGTTTGCAGCATTTTTAAAAAAAAATGGGTGGCGCTAACCTTGGGGCCATCCATTTTTAAGAAGTAGAATGACTGCTGAAGTTGCTCATAGATGGGAGGGGAAAAAAACTCTAATTCTGGTTATATTTGGTATTTGACATGCTGTCAATTTCTTGTATTTTACAGGCTGATCAGCTTACAGAAGAGCAGATTGCCGGTAAGACATCGCTGCATTGATCTACTACTTTCCTCATATCCCGCAAAGTGGCCTGCGTTATGGATCCTACTATGGATTATACTTTTGCCTTTTAAGGCATTCCACAGGGTAGCCTGCTGGTCATAAAACAGGAGTGAATGAAACTGCTGTTGCTTGCTGGCTCTGGAGTTCAGAAGGACTCCCTCATGGAAAACTTTGCATTTTCATGGTTGTCATGTAATAAATGATGTAATCTGGAAGGTCTGTGTGTTCTGGTGAGTTGCTGGCTGTGCATGATGTGTCCTTTGCCCTGGGTGTGTTCATTAAATGGAATGCTTCAAGAACACTTGCTGTCCCTACGTGGTATGCTCGTATACAAAGATGATCTAAATCTTGTAATCTAAATAATGCAGGAAGAATGTGTCTCAAGGCACTGCTTCCATTATGTGCTCAGACACTTGCTGTAATGTATACAGTTCATGTCTTAAATGTAACAGTTGTAGTGGTCCCTGATTAAAATCTTGCAGCTTAGGTCAGGTTTCACAATATGCTGATCATACTCTTGCTGTATTTCATGGTGTCAGGTTTAGTGCACAAACCCTTGCTTGACGTTTTGTTAACGTGTGCCAGTTTTAGATTGTCAGGTTGTACAAATAGCATGACAATGCACTAATGTTTTGTCTTGGGAAAATTAACTACATTTTTAAGAGCAGTAAGCGGTAGCTGCAGTTGATGCAGACAGCAGCCTTTTCCTCACAACAAAGGGTGTTGCCCTGTGTGGTTGACCCTGCAAATGGCAAGGCAGGTTGTAGTTTTTATGATGCAGACAAGCTGCTGCATGACACTACACATTGCCCACTGGCCTCATCACACTTGATGAGTGTGTCATTGTTCCTCATTCCTCACGGCTGCAGCAACCACACAGGCTGTGACAGGCCATTGATGTATCCTGCCTGTCCTGCTGCTTGGTCTCGTGGTCCTTGTTTAGCCAAAACAACTGCAGTTGGAACTCAAAACAAGAAGGCTTATCACTATGCTGGAGGAAGTTTATAAGTTAAACATGAGTGATGTAATGCTTCTCAAGTCTTAAGCTAATTCTGGGTGTGGGTCAATGTGATTGGCAGACTTGGAATAAGATGAATATATTCAGCCCCTGTAGTGTTTTACAACCACTGTCTTGCCAGTTTTGTTTTGCATATCTAGCTATAGGTGGGACATATCTGCCTTTCTAAAGAAGCCATCCACTTTTTTTTTTTTTTTTTTCTCAGAGTTCAAGGAGGCATTTTCGCTCTTTGATAAGGACGGAGATGGCACAATCACCACCAAAGAGCTGGGCACAGTTATGCGCTCTCTGGGCCAGAACCCTACAGAGGCAGAGCTGCAGGACATGATCAATGAAGTGGATGCTGATGGTGAGAACTTAATCTGGCTTCAGAACCTGCTAATCACACACAACTGATGTACTGGATGGAAATCCCTCATCAATGTCTGTCTGTTTTGGTGTGTGTTTTTGGTTTTTTTGTCTTCAGGAAATGGAACGATAGACTTCCCAGAGTTCCTGACTATGATGGCCAGGAAGATGAAAGACACAGACAGTGAGGAAGAGATCAGAGAAGCATTCCGTGTCTTTGACAAGGTAAATACTATCTGCACTCCCACACGCAACCATAAGTATGTACAGCAGTTTTAAAAAGGTGCTAACTGATGTAATTTTTAGGATGGCAATGGATACATCAGTGCTGCTGAGTTGCGCCATGTGATGACAAACCTTGGGGAGAAGTTGACTGATGAAGAAGTGGATGAGATGATCAGAGAAGCAGACATTGATGGAGATGGACAGGTCAACTACGAAGGTTGGTGGTGTTTTGTATTTATATTTTTCTTTATGTGCTGGGGTCACTCATTGGATACTGAGTTGCACTTTCTCCCCCCCCCCCATCTCTTCCTGCAGAGTTCGTACAAATGATGACGGCGAAGTGAAGGCCTTGTACAGATTTCGTATATAAATAATTTGCCTTTTTTTTTTCTTTGTGTAATTTATCTGTAAAATCTTAATAGCCCCCCCTTCGTCCCTGCCCCTTCTGCTGTCCAAAGGAACTGCATGTAAACTGCATAGGCTCTTGTCCCCATGTCCCTTTCTTTTGCTGTCATGGTGTTTTGGAGTGACGGAACGGTCATACAACCAGATGCCTGTGGAGGCCCCTGGGAGCCGGAGAACTTCGAATCTTCCCGTCTTGTGTGCTCGGGGCCCCTCCGCATGGCGACATTGGAAACCTGTCAGCTGGTTGTCTCTTACTTGGCAACACTGTTGGCATGGAAACAATGTAGAGGAGTTTAAACTCTGCATGGACTATGGACAAAGTATATATGGAAATCTCTCAGCATTGCACTACTGCAAAAAAATGACACGGGTGTATCTCCTAGGTACTCGTACAAACTCTTTTTGTATCTGCTGTTCTATATACCAGAAAATGACTAATCTTACCATGCTTTTAATGTTTTACTTTTCTTTCTTTTAATTTTTTTTTTTTTTTTTTTTTTTTTTTGACCTCTGGTCATGCCTCAGATAATCCATTCCAAGTTGTATATTTTTGTTTTCCAATAAAATGTACAATCTACCCGGATTTGAAAATTGTCTTGTTTTCTCAGTTATAATGGATCCTTGAGTTTGTATACCCTGTAATAATTCCCATTTTTGTATTGAGGACGGGATGCTCCCTTTTTTTTTTTTTTTTTGTTTTCGAATACATAAATGTTTACCATTTTAAATTAAGTGTCCCTGCTGACTTCCCAAAAGCACTGAGGAGCATCAGCCAATGCCTCTTAATGTTCAGATAACCTCAGATCAAATCTGTATTGTCATTAATATAAAAGCACTGAGTGGGATCAAAGGCTTCTATTTTGAAGTGCGCACAATGATGCTCGACATTGGATTAGCTTTGTACTGTCCAGCTCCCTTACTGACTACATTGGCCATGTTGTGTGTTACTGTTGGCATGGCACCATGTAGAAGCTGCCTCATGTCTTTTTTTGGCATTTGCCCCCATGACAAGGTGCAGGTTATTGAACGTACATCAGAACCATGGTGTAAATAGAGGTGTACCGTTATTTTCTTTTTTGGTTAACTTCTGATTGAGTTTGTTACAGTAGCTTGCAGAGATACTAAGTTTGTTATTTTGATGAATGACAAAATAAAGCTCTATTGTGGACCTCTGCTCTGGCTCCTGTGTGAATGAAATTCTTTCTATTTTCCTTTAAAGGAATGCGATGCTTTGGTCTGCCCGTTGGGAGCAGTAGGGGCTGCAGTTGTTTATGGCTTGGTCAGTCATGCATTTTATTCAGTGGTCCCTGTGGATGCACATTCAAAAAAACATTGTAAAATGCACTTCAGTAACAACTCGTACACCAAAAGGGGCTGATGTCAAGAGGAAACTTACTAAACAGTATCCCTGATTTGCTGCAAGTGGATTATTCCTTTTACAGAGTCTGCATAGGAACAACTTCAGCGCCAAGACTGCCAAAAACCACAACCCACTGCAGTTTCAGGTGTGAACAGATGACACAAGTGGCTCTCAATAGCCAAGAACAATTATCACAAGACAAAAGTGTCATCACAATCTACTTATAAAAGCTGTTAATTGCACAGCACATGGAACACTAGTCTTGTCCCTCTGCATTCATTCATTGTCTGATAGAAGACTGTCTGCCAGGTGCTAGGGGGGAGACTGTTACTTCAATCAGATTACAGCTCCTTTGCTGCCCGTGTGTTTTCGGTGTGTGTGTCCGCATGTACTCTCAGGTACACATTAGACTTCCTTGACAAGCAATGTCAGTTCTTGGCTCCTTCGGACCGTGTGCTCCATGTAGCCTAGCAACGAGGCCGAATGTTGAGCTTTTGCTCCCAGAGCGAGATTTTCACTTCAGGTGATGGTGTTTAGCTCTGCCGTACAGAAAATCAGAGTGAGAGAGTGTTTGTGCCTGACATCACACTCCAGCAGCCTAGCATGCCACAAGAGGTAAGATACTTCAAACTTCATGCACAAAGAAGAGGCTTCATTTGAAAGAATTTCTCGGCATAAGTATCACATTTTAAAAGCTGTAGTGGTTTTAACTGCCTGATTTGAAGAACCCACTCCTAAATACATTCATGTCGAACTGTAGGTGACATAAGTACTTCACTTGTAGAAGAAACTGAATGATCAAACTTTTATTTTAGTAATGTCAAAGGAGAGAAAGAGTTGCGTAATTGAAGCAATCCTCATTATATTGGACACCAGGTGGTCTTCAGACCCTAGATAAGCAGCCTTGCCCAGTCCAGACATTTGGACGGATGAGACATGTGTTCTGTCTCGTACTGGACTGCAATTTGCACTGTGATGGCAACTTTTGATCAGTATATTCCAATCAATACCACATGATGGTGGTTGACATTGATGAGGGCAAAGTAACTAACTGCAGCGTACTTTAGTGCTGGCTTACCATTGTGTCTTGCTCTCATTCAAACTGGTCGGTGAGTCTAAATTTAGCCCTCCACCAGGCCAGCTTGATGAAAAATTGATCGATAGTGGAGTCGCTGCTATAGTAACAGTCGCGGTTTTAATGGTGGTCAGGTGTCACTGGATCTTCAGTCAACCAGATAGTGAACGGCAATGAGCATAGTGCAGGATACGGCCAAGTGGAAAAACAAAGCCGTCTCTAAAGTCAGCGACATGTCCAGGGGTGGTAATAGAACAGATAAGGTAAGGCTCTTTAACGCCCTCATGACTCAGTGTGGTTAATGAGGACACACAGAACTGGTGAAGCACAGGCTGTGCTATGCATCTACACATTGTTGGCATAGCAGTGTCATCATAGCAGAAACAATCATCGGTGTCTTTGCTTATATCTTGTTCTTATCCGCAGGGTGATGACAAGGTGGGCCTGTGTGGCCGGGGGAGCTGGTGGCTGGGAACACTGAAAGTAGGTGTCATACTGAAATGTGGTTTTATAGGAGGAGAGGCTGCTGCACTGGCTTTGCTTCAGGCCCAAACACTTGCCACTGGGTTGACACTTAAAGGGGACTCATTAGTTCATGTTTAGATATGTTAGCAGTTAATGGTTTTTTATTGCATAGCACTATCCCATTGTCTGTGGCCAGTGTGTGCTGTCTGCCCGAAACACTACAGTGAGTCCGGTCCCTAAGTGCCTTACAGTGCATGCGCTCAGTGTAATAATGCATAGACCTTTTTAATCATCAGTAATCTTAATGTGATCCCAGCTCTCTGGCTCCACTGTTAATCAGCTGCCTTCTTCTTTCTATGAATGTATCCTGTCCAGCTAACAATAGATCAGGTGGCTTGGAAATTACTCTATGTAAATGAACAGCAAACGTAGCTTTGCTGTACATTTACAGTAAAGCACATGTATGTAACACATTATTATGAAATGTCAGTTCTCATTCATAGCATTTGTTTCGATGTCTCACTATGGGATGCGCCACCCCACGTATTCCTCAGAAGCATTTATCTCATTACGCCAATCCTGATTGGCTGGTGATCGTGGTGTCTGTGTCTAGTGGACCCACCTACCCTTAAATAGCTTACGCTACAACGCAGACACCATTCAAACACCTCTTCTCGCTTCGGAGCATATCTCGATCTGTCGTACGGGCTAGCTAGCTTAACTGTCCACAGATAAGAGCTGACATCTCAGTCGGCAGGTGCTAGCTGCCTTCAACACGCTTCGACTCTTCGGTCTCACAACAGACTGGAACATTACCCGCCTAGCCGTTTTACGGTAAGGTACATGTTAGCACACCAGCTAATGCAACGCTCTTCTTAATTAGCACTCCAGCTAACGAAGATGGACTCTAATCCCCCTCACACCAGAGGAGACAGTGATCCAGGGGCTCGGCTCTGCTGCTGCGGGAATAAAATTTCAAGCAGGGACACACACCAGGTCTGCTCTTCCTGCCTCGGGCTGGAACACACCCGCTTGGCCGTTGAAGCCCCGGTTCATGCAGGCACTGTGCCTGCTTCACCCTGAAGAGTCTTAGACGACGGCACGCCAAGCTAGCTTGTCGGGAAAGGACCCTCACCTGTCCACCAACGACTTGCCGGCTGGCAATGAGGGACCGATGTGGACGCTGAACCGTGTGCTAGCGCTAGCTGGGGCTCACAGCTGGACCTAGCCGCGGTGGCCCCGCTTATGGAAGATGTGCTAGAGCTGGATTATGAGGATGATGACGAGGGCACCTCAGAGCTCCTCATATCTGAGGATGATGAGGATGAGGATGAAATGTTCATCCCTTCCGCTCAGGCTGCCAAGCACGACGCTGTGTCTGCCTCTCCGGGCGAGGACGGGAGTACGCCGGCTTCCCCCGCTCCCAGTATGGATATGCAGGACGCACTGCAGCCAGACTGAATATTCCCTGGCCTGCGGTTGTGACGGAGACCACCAGATCCCGTTATGAGGGGAAGAAATTGCCCCAGGCCAAGAGGATGGCAAAACAGCTACTCCCAGTTTTTCCTGAGCTGCTGGATGAAGTCTCGGTTTCATGGAAGGACCACCTGTTCAGCAGCAAGACCCCGATACAGGGCGCTTCCTCCCTGGATTTTGAGGGCATGGAAAAGCTTGGCATGCTCCGCATGCCCCCCATGGAGCCGTTAGTCGCTCTAACGAAGATGGACTCTAATCCCCCTCACACCAGAGGAGACGGCGATCCAGGGGCTCGGCTCTGCTGCTGCGGGAATAAAATTTCAAGCAGGGACACACACCAGGTCTGCTCTTCCTGCCTCGGGCTGGAACACACCCGCTTGGCCGTTGAAGCCCACCTCCACCCACCACAGACCACGGCATCCTCCAGGAACCCCATATTGTCCGCTATGACTGAGAGGGCTTACAAAGCGTCAGCTTTGAGTGTCCGAGCCCTGAATGTCTCCTCCATTCTCACCGCATATCAAGCGGATTTGATGGAGGACATGGCCACCAAGCCTGACCCCGTAGTGTGGGAAGAGATTACCATGACAACAGACATTTGCCTCCGCGTGCAGCGCTGCTTGGTCCAAGCCAGAGGTAAATCTATGGGAGTGATGGTTTCACAGGAAAGACCAAGATGGCTCAACCTGACAAACCTGTCTGACAGAGAGAAGAGAGGACATCTTGGACATGCCGATTGTCCCTGACGGGGTTTTTGGCACCGCTCTGGCCTCCATGCAGCAGAGATGTGAGGCTAAGAAGAAGGAGGACGAAGCTCTCCAGCTCTGCCTACCCCGGAAAGCTGAGGCCCACCCCCCAGCGGCCCCACGCCAGACCTTCGCTCAGGCTGTCTCGTGGCCCCCTCAGTTTAAAATCCCTAAGCGGCCGAAGCCCCAGCCCACCCCAGTTGCCCCTCCACGGCATGAGGCGAGAGCGGGCTGGCCCAGGAAGGCTCCAACGCTGACGGCAGCTCCACTGGGACAGCGGGTCCAGACTGCCGGTCAGCAGGCCAGGAAGAAGAAGAGGGCGTTTTGACAGCCTCCCTCTCCCCACCGGTGATGCCGCTGGATGTTCCCCGTTCGCCAGCCCCACCTGTTCTGTTCCGGAGTGTGATGCGGGGGCTTTCCCGACTCCATGCTGTGACGTGCAGTTCCAGAGAGGCACCGGCGCGTCTCGGTCGAGGAGAAGAGAGACTTTGCAGCAGAGGCAGCAGGTTTTCTGCCCTCCCTTTAAGTCGCACAAGCACACACCCTCACTCTTTATTAACAATAAAGCATGTTCCGCTGCTGCATCCAGGCCTAAGGTCAAGGGCACAGTTAAAAACAATGAACAGAAAACAACAAGCTACGGCTCCCTTCAAGCACCTCGCGCATGCGCAGTGTCGACCATGCGCAGTGTCGACCAGGAGTCGCGCTTGTGCCCCGCCGCTAGATGGCCCCATAACACCATTATTGACGGCGCGCAGTGGGGAAGACAAACCGGGGGCTGCCACCCCTCTCGCTGATGAGGGAAAGGTGAGCGGCGCTCATGACTTTGGCCTGGGTGCTAAGAACGATATCATGGGGCTTCAATTCGCTGTCATCCCCCTCGCTTCTCAGGTATTGTATGCTCCCGGGCTCAGGGGGAGTCAGCTTGTATTCTACAGGAGGAAATTGTCTCGCTGTTAGAAAAGAGAGCGATATGTGTAGTGCCTCACGAATGGAGTCAGAGCGGCTTTTACTCCAGGTATTTTCTGGTCCCCAAACGGAGCAGTCTTTGCCCTATCCTGGATCTGCGAGCTCTGAACAAGAACCTCAGGAAATACAAGTTCAGGATGCTCACTCATGCATCCCTGCTTCGTCTGGTGCGCCAGGGCGATTGGGTCACGTCTGTCGACCTGAAGGACGCGGATTTCCACATTGCAATTTATCCTACGCACAGGAAATATCTGAGGTATGTTACGAGTACAGGGTACTTCCCTTCAGTCTGTCCCTGAGCCCGAGAGTGTTCGTGCGGTGTACCGAAGCGGCTGTGGCCCCGTTAAGACGGCAGGGTTTCCGTCTGGCTACATATCTGGACGACTAGCTCCTTTTGGCACAGTCGGAGCAGGTGTCAGTGTCGCAAACGCGCGTACTCATAAGACATCTTACAGATTTGGGTTTTATAATAAACACTGAGAAGAGCGTGCTGTCCCCAGCACGGAGTACAATATTTCTGGGGTTACACCTGGTTACACCTGGTTTCCTTTACTCTGTCCAGGGTGAGGGAGCACTGCTGCAGACTGATCCTCATAGCTCCGCATTGGCCAGCGATGCATTTAAGTGTGATGGAGCTTCCTCAGAATGTGGTTAACACTATTCAGAGCGCCAGGGCTCCCGCCACCAGGTCCCTTTATGAATGTAAGTGGAGGGTGTTTGAGGAGTGGCGTATCAAGGAGGGTCATGCGCCTTTTCAGTGCCCGGCCTGCAGGTCTTGGTTGATAAACAAAAGGCTTTCTCCACAATTAAAGTGTACCTGGCTGCTATTGCTGCTTGTCATGTGGGGTTTGAAGGTAAACCAGCTAGCCAACATCCCTTGGTCTGCCGTTTTATGAAAGGGGCACGTCGGCTACTCCCTGTTTCTAGGCCATTGGCCCCTCCGTGGGATCTGGCAGTGGTTCTGGATGGGCTCTCTGGCCCCCCTTTTGAACCTCTGGGGAAGTTGACTTAAAACGTCTGTCTCTGAAGACAGTGTTATTGCTGGCTTTGGCTTCTGCAAAACGGGCCGGCGACATTCACGCACTCTTTCTTCTTGTAATGTCAACATTAAATTGTATTTATAGGATTATTGGAAATAACAATTGTATTTGGCAATATAATAATATCAAAATAATTATACCTTAATAAAAAGAGTTTAACTACCTTGAGCTGAATTTGGCTCTTGTGGACAACAGTCCAGTAATGGCTGCATCATGCCAACAATACAGCAATGTGTCTTTCTAGGATATGTGGTAACACTACCTTAACTTCTCTCCTCTCACCTACTCCCAGGACACACCCATCCCCGGTCTCTATCACATTCGCGACTTCATCGAAGAAGCTGAACTGAACCCAGTGAGGAAGACCTATGGGTTCAAAGGCGTGGGCAGAAAAGCCCACATTCTGGGCATACGTAAGGGGGATTTGCTTCTACCCGGGGCGTATGACTACACCGACTCCATCCAGGAGGTCCTGAGGCACCAGGCGTCCTACTCTTTCAAAAACTGTCCACGGCCTGAAATCATCACTCTGGGCTTCAGCGACAAGGTCGGGTTCTGACATGACCTTTACTGATCCTGTTGGCAGATGTAATTTACCACATATTAAAGGAATAGTGCACGGTTTTGGGAAATACACATATTTGCTTTCTTCTAAGACTTAGATAAGAAGTTTGATAGCAGGACTCTCACGTCTGTGCGTCAAAGATACTCTGTTGAGTTTTTGACCACTAGTAGCTCTATGGATCAATGGGTTTATGAGTGGGTCCCTGTTTTGTTAGTACCTCTTTTACACTGGCATGATATATGACAGTAGTGTTATGGTTAGTGTGTTTTTTTATGTAAGAGGAAGCGAACTAATAACTTGCAAGAATAGACACAAACACAGGTTAGAGTAGGCTTTGCAAATGTTTTACACTACATCTACCATTCACACACTGAACCTAAGTGCTCAAACACAAACTAACATTCAATTCGGTGTTCAGTTTCTTGCCCAAAAACCCTTCGACAGGCAGCCTGGGATTGAACCACCAATCTTCCAAATTACGGGCAACCTGCTCTACCTCCTGAGCCACAGCTGCCTGAAGGAGGTCCCAGAAAAACAGAGAGGCTGCTGTTCAGCCCGTCAGGGGGAGAAAAAAAGTCAAGGAACGAATCACAAATCCACAGCACCTGGCGCACATTAAACAACTCCGTGGTGCTTGATGTTAAAAGTAAACAATGCAGTCATGACAAACAATTCATTATTTATTTACGTTTATCAGCACGGGGAGGCATATGGAAACAGCTTTGACTGTCCCTTGACTTCCATGTTGTTTCCCTTCTGTCTGTGGATTGCTACAAGGTGGGGAAAATGAATTAGAAAGTTCTATCGACAACCACGGAAAGCAAGCAGGCTGAGAAACCAAACTAAGGGACGTATTCTGTCTGTCTATCAGTCTCCTCCGCTCTGTTTCAGTACTACAGACAGAATCGTACCCACACACACATACCATAATTCAGCCATATTCATATCACCGTTACACAAAACCAACACCCACTTGCTTAGCTGTAGTCATATGTAATCAAATGCCAAAAAGCATTAAACCACTTCCCACCACACAGTGTTAATATTGCCACCCTGTTGATCTGCTTTATGACTTTGGCCTGCTTTGGGTCCAACTGACCTACTGGTTTCCAAACATTTGATCAAATCGCAGTAACATAGCTCAGGTGACATGTACAAAACTCACATGCTTCAGGCTTCACTGCGTGACCTGACCTCTCCCTTTTTAGGAAAATTCTCATTTGAAATGCATCCAAAATGTATTTATGTCTGTATTTACAGATTGTGATAGTGACAAAATAGGTGATTTTGTTCCAGCAGCAAATTAAGCCCTGCCGCCCAGTACGTCCAGGTAGTACCTCTTAGGCTAAAGAATGGTTCGTTATGGTCAGTAGGTACAGGTTTTGGTTTTGGTCTCTGTAGGCAAGATGGTTTTCGGGAAGCTGTGTGCCGTGCTCTTTGCCAAGAAATTGTTACACCACGTAACTCTTAAGCTACAAATTTCTGTGCGTGTGTTTTTTTTAAATTTGACCAAAGTTTTATTAACAGTTAATAGTTGGAATTTATTGTTGTTAACTTAGCCCTCTACATCACTTTTATTCAAGTATGCATTTTTCAAGCAGTATCCAGTGTTTTCATAGTGTTTTGGCAGTGGCATTGGAACATCATCACAGCAATTTGCTTCAAAGTGGCTGCTCTTCAAAATGTACCTGCAGCAGACTTACTGAAAACAGAAAATGTGTTAGAAACCAAAGCCAGCTGTCGGCGATGCAACACAGCAGGCACAAAAGCAAACTCATGGTGATACTGTCATATACATTTAAACACTTCTTTATCTTTATTCCCTGTGCCAGCATATAAACACTTCGCCGTGCGACTACAATGTGACAGCAAAACCAGTGGAGAAGATTCCCTGCAAGTAAGCACTCGACAAACAAGCCTCTCTTTAACTCTCAGATCACAGCGGAGCAGACAACGCATGAATCACCCCCTTGATCGCGGAATCCTTCCTCTTCGTACAAATTCTCCTTCCTCTCTCATCTCCTCACAGCACAAAGATAGAGGAGCAATCACTAAGCTGCTCTCTCATTTTCTCTGTCTCTGTCTTATTCTTTTCTTCTCTCACTTTTCCCTTCACTGTTCTCCTCTTTTCTTTTTTTTCGACCCCCCCCCCCCCCCCCCGACCCCCCCCCCCCCCCTAACCCACCCATATCTTATCTCCTCTTCTTGCAGGCATGTGATGTTCCGGTCGACTGTGCAGCGGATCAGCTTTCCCCCTGTAAGTATCCAGTCACAGAGACTAGTTATTAGGACCATGCAGTCTTTCCATTGCCCACAAAAAGGCTTCATTACAATACACTTTCAATGGGTTTTGGTTACAAGCTATGACCTAATGTGTATCTGGTATGTGCTGTACACAAGCTAGTTATGACAACCACAAGGGTCAAGGAAAACCGATCCCACAGGGTATCTAACGGTGTCTTTTGCCCCATTTGAGGGCCTGTTATGGCACTGTACTAACTGACCAGTCAGCTTTGGTTCATATTGCAGTGTTGAAGCCTTAGCTGTGTGTCCATGCTGGTAGCTGATGGATATTTGATCCGTGCTGGCAGCTGCTGAGTGTTGACAGAGAAGGAAAGGCGCTAAGAAATCCTGAAGGTGTTATTACTGTTGGGAGCAGTTTTCTGCTGTTAGTGGTGTCACAGCGACTCTAAGACAAGTTTATTGTCAAAGGTTAAGCAGCTACACAAATCCCACAGCGAAATTAACTGAAAGCGCAGATCGGTCAGACAACTGACGGAGGTGGAGAGACATTAGCAGATCACCAGTGAAGTGTCTTAATGGACACTGAAAACTCGTAATCCAATCTGAGAGAGAAATTCAGATTTCTCTGAGCCCTGCCTCTTAGCCCAGAATTAAATGAAATACATCACACACACATCCAAACAAATACTTGCAGTGAGCTGAAGATGAGTGGGAAAACAACAACAAAGTATATATATTCTCTTCTTTTTATTTGACTTAATTTCTCAGTCCTGGGGCCACTGTGTGTCCTAGATTTACATGTAATATACATGCAAAATCAACTGCACGTGCAACTTGGAAGGAACAAATCCAATTAATTTCGTAATCCCAGACATTTTCATATGACAGTGTCCTCCTCTCTATTGCTTTACCACAGAAGTGATTCATCCTTTAACTACAGCATGAAATCTTGCAGATCTATGCACCTGCTGTCTGGCTGTTTCGATTTGCCACACTAGAAGCAGGGCTCTAATGGCAATGTTGGTCTGTCATTCGGTCAACCGCTTTGGTCCAAACTGAAACTATTGGTTGAATTGCCATGCAGTCTGGTACACACATTCATGATCCCCAGGGGATGAATCTTTGGTGGTCCCCGGACCTTTCCTCTAACACCATCATAAGGTTGACATCTGTGTTTTTCAGTGAAATATCAACAGTTGTTTTAAGGAGTACAGTACAGCGAGGTCTTGGATGCAACATTCAGAAACAGGTCAAAGCTTTAACAGCATACGCCACACAGGAGAATGTTTCTAACGTGCTGTGCCACAGTAGGAAAGTGGGCCAGGTACTTTGGCTCAAACACCCTCACCCACATACACACATGTGTGTGAGAGTGAGGTTCACTGCCCACCAGCTCCTGTGAAATACACCTGCATTAGCACCTCTGGAAGCATCAGGCAAGCGCGCGGGGCCCAGCGGGCCAGTTGCCGAGGATCAAGTTAACTGGCAACTGGGATCAAATGGCATGTAATGGTAGCAGCCATCCCTCCAAAGAGCAGAGGAGAGGAAAAGACACCTTCCTGCCTCCCTCTGTTCGAATCAGAGAGCAGCTGAAAATGAAAGGCTGGTCCTGTGTTCAGGGACAGGGACACAGTTTTATGTCTGAGGAGGAGTGTGGAGGGGGGGGATGCTATTTCTGCATGGCACGCCGCTGGTGATGACCAGTATGTGTGTTAGTGGGTAAGAGGAAAGGAGAAGTGAAAGGCAAGGAGAGCGAGAGAGACTGACTTTTGACAGAGACTAACCCCAAAGACAGATTGCTTTGGTGAAAAAACACACAGCACAACCAGAGACCAGCAAAAGCCATGAAGACAGGAGTCAAATGATATGTCATAGGTCATAAAAATATGGGTATGGGACCCTAAAATAGACCTATTGTAAATTGTTAGTGCATCAGATGACTTGAGTATCATGGTATAACAATAGGTTTCCATGAGCTTATAGCGCCAAGTGAAACACTGAAACTTAGAGGTCATGATGTACAGTAGGTAACTATGATACAGCCCTCATGCTTATACCATCACGTCTGGATCCATCTGATTGGACTCTGTAGGGTGTAATCTGCCAGCTAGTTTTGTTTGGATGCTTGAGAAAACTGCTATTAGAAGTCAGGTGACACCATAAAAACTAAACTAAGCTTGTCTATGCTTAACAGGGTCCTGTTCTTCAAAGGTGCTTGTACTAATCCAGGATAACATGATGACATTAGATATCTGCTCATATTTCATATTCAGTTTCCCTGTGTCCTTGACTACACTGAACAAACAAAATTATAAACACAACACTTTTGTTTTGACATGACATTTGACATTTAATCATGTAGCTGAGGCTTTTATCCAAAGCGACTTACAATTGTTATATATGTCAGAGGTCGCACGCCTCTGGAGCAACTTGGGGTTAAGTGAGCACTTCTCCTTAAGGCAAAGGAGAAGTGCTCACTAACACAGATTTTGACAGATTTGTGAACAATATTTGAGAGAAATAGGCCTTTGGTGTACATTGAGAAAGTCTTAGATCTTTGAGTTCAGCTGATGAATGGGGGCAAACAACTAAAGTGTTGCGTTTATAATTTTGTTCAGTGTAATTTACTGAGAGAGCACACAAGTTGATTGTGTTGAGCTAGTATTTTTTTTTTTTTAATTCTGCTGGGTTACTGAAACTCTGTCACAAGGTACATGTGTTCGGCTGACTACAAAGACAGCCTTTCCTCTGCATGTTTCTGACCAAAGCTAAGAAACCCTATGTATGCTTACATGCTAAAGGGTACTTCTAGCTTTGGTATAGGCTACAGCATATTGGGGCTTGATCACAAAATTCATTGATCAATCCATCAATCAATAATGGCTTTTATCTCTGGCCATCTTAGAAGGAGGGACCTGCTCCATGCCACTATAGTCCACAGACCAGACCAGCAAAAGGCATCACTTCCTCCTTCAAATCCACATTGCCGCGACTCCACTATGTGCACTCAGTGAGTCCAGTACTTCACAATTAGCTATCTGTCATTAGCGTAAGACTACCGATATGTACTATGACATTTTGTCAGTGAAATTCTTGATGAGCGGGTAAAAATGCAAAATAGGCTACTAATGTTTCGATTTCAGCAATGATCTTTCGTGGTTTTTAAAATTCATCAAAGTTTAGAGACATAAGTTATGGAACATGCAAAGAAAACAACATTTCATATATGTTAGAGACACTTCAGAGCATATTCTATAAAAACTTTATGTGATCGAAATTATTTTAGATATTTAAAAAAAATTTAAACTTAAAAGGCCATGTTTCTCTTTTGGGGGCCTCTTGTTTTTATAATTAAAGAAAAACAATTTGTGTGTGTGTGTGTGTGTGTGTGTGTGTGTGTGTGTGTGTATTCCACAGAAGACCCCAGGACCAGGGGCCTGCGAACCTTGCTGGAAGCTGGGTGACCATCTGAACCCAGCAGCCAAAGACCCATCATTTAGCCTCTTCTTCCGCAACATTCTCTAGTGTGGACTTTATTTCTCCTCATCCTGTCAGCTTGCTAACTGGCAGATCACACACATCACACTACCGTATTTTGAAATAAAAGAAAAATCTTAAGATTAAGAAAAATGCCGGTCTCTTATTACTTGGACCAATGTTTATCTGCATTTCAGTGAGGCATTTTGTGGTCCGCCAACGACATATCAAGCTACATTTGTTGTGCTCAAATCACTTTAGTGACGCCGGCTAGGGAAGCAGAATGATCTTATCTGCAACAAAGGGTACTTCATTCCACTTAACTACATGTTCCCGGTATTGCTCTCTCCCTTCATTTCTCCTCCTCTTTGCTCCTCTTTCCCTCTCTGTCGGCATTCAGGCTGCTTTGCCTTCCTACTATCTCTGCCCGGCGATGCACTCAGGAGGAGGAATGCTGCTCAGCCATGCGTCACATGCACATAGCTTACTGTGGCATGCTGCACCCTCAGATAACACATTCAGTATTAAGGGGCCAAGGCGGTGGCACACAGTAAAACAGCTATTCTTATCAGTACCTACTCCGCATACTCTTATTTTTTTTCTTTCGACGAGCCAAACAAACACAACCAATCATGTTGGGACACAGAGAACAGCAGCGATACAAATCACCTCTGTGTGGAACATAAAGGTGGTGTACATTACAGAGCAACAGGGTACATGTACAGAAAATAAATTACAAACACATTGCAGATTTGTTATTAGTGTGATCCTGGACAGTTTTATTTATCATTTATTTATTCAGGTAAGGATTTTGCTGAGCATGCATGCTCTTTGTCAGCACTGCTTCATATTGAGAGTTAGACACTCACGCCTCAGAGCAGCCGAATTTTGTGTTGACAGTTGTTGAGGGCATGGAGAGCTGTATTCATCCACTCTGCCCAACCAGATTCTGTTATCAGATCCAAAGATGAAAATATAAACAACGATAATTAAAGCCCAATTTTTTAAGCTTTATTTTAGTGTTGTACTGATTTTAGAGCACAAATAATCCCCCATAGTAACAAATAATAATAATAACTGATGGAAAATCAGTCAGAAGATTTAGCACCATCACCCCACTTATTTTTCTGCTAATTTTATCTAGAACCTACAAAGTTCCAAATCATCATCAATGAAGCAGCTTGCTGAAACTACAAACATGGCTCCAAACACCTGTTATTTTTATAGCTGCACAAATCAACATTTTGAACAGTGGTTCAAATAACAGTGTAAATAGAAGGTGCGGTGAACCACAGATAAGTATCACCCGACTGCAGTTTCCCTTGCTTTGGAGGATTTTAGTATTTTTCAGCTCACAGTTTTGGTTTTACAGCCTGCAACTTTAATGTGTTTGTTCAGCCACTCTCATCAGTCTTGTTTCGAACTGCAGCAGGCAGCTGTTTTAATGAAAGCTGTTTTAATTTTTTTTAATAAGAAAGCTCTAATTATAACCTCTGTGCTCTACCCGCCCATGACCAAACGGCAGGCACACAAAGTCAGCAGCTAGCTTTTGAACATGGCATGTAGCAGCTGAAGCCTAGTTCACACTATATGATTTTAAGCCCGATTTGCTTGTTGGTGAGCTTGGGGACTGCAAGACTGTGATCATGGGTAAATCAGTAATCAATCGGCCAGATGCATCAAAACGGCTCCCCGACACATCACTGACACATCGCCGACACCGGCCGGATATCTAGCATGCCAAATATCTGGAGGAGTTGGCCGACTCGACATCCACATTCAGCCAATGAGAGCAGGCAGTTGGCAGAGCAGGCAGCTACTTTTCACTGCAAAACACTTTTTACTCACCTCCAGTTGTTTCTGTAGCTCAGACCATCCCTGCTACGTGTGCTAATCCATTCTTTCACCCATATTCTTGTCTTTATAATTGCTATCTTTATAACAAACAACAGCTGTTTTGTGTGTAGGTTTGCGTCATTTCCCGTTTGACATTTCATGTGTGTTTTCTTGACAAAATGTGGTTTGGAGACCATCAGGAGTTGGTGGAGACCAAAAAAAGAGCTAAAAGGAGAGCGAATATTTGTCGGGTGACCAGACACCCTACTCCAAATGAATGCTAATGTTGTTTCATATCTACTGGATGGATAAATACGTAAGTGTTTGCTAACATGCTTGTCATATTAACTTAATAATGTGAAAGTATGTCAATGTTGTGTTTAAAGCTTGTTCTGCTGCCCAAAAATTGCACCCTAGCATCTTGCTGGCTGTAACAGTGGATATGGCATACAGCTATCATGGGTAGGAAGAGACAAGCGGAACAAACAAGTTTGTGGATTTAGAGATTTCAAAAATGCCTTTGGAGATGCAATCTGCTGCTTTATAACACATACCCTGAATAAGGCTTGAGTTGTGAAACACGTGAAGAATCATGGACTAACTTGGTGGGCTTGCTGCATTCTAGCTAGAGTTGTTCATATTCACAAAACATCCTAAACCATCTCCACTGGTGGGTCAATGCTCAGGGTCAGCTGACAAAGCAGCATTGCTAGAGCTGGTAGGGATTTTATCCTGCTCAAGAGCACTTCAGCAGGGTGAACGTTGACATAAAACACAGTCTAGATAACGATTTGTTTGTGATAAATTGATGTGAGATCCTGCACATAATGAGGCACTGGATTGACTCCTTTACATGTATCGACATCAGTGAAGTATTCATTCTGGGATAACGATCAGGCGAACCGTACAGAATGTTATCACGGCACAGCTACTTGGCCGACTTTAATCCCCACCATTCTGTTTTCCTTCAGTTGCCGACACTTAAGAGCTTGAAGAGGTTCAAGAGCCGGGCTCTTATTCCCCCTGTCATTATTCTGGAGACAAAGGAGCGCACACTTCCACCCGGAGAGGAAGACAATCTTATTAACATGGGGCTTTACATGGAGTCTCTGGAGGGCTGGGCATGTGCAGCCGCTGCTGAGGAGGATGCAACAAGAGAGCTGTGTGTGTGTTTGTGTGTGATCGGCAGCCATTCTGCCTGTGGTCAAGGCACCAAGCCCCCAGTAATCTCTGTCTCTCTCAAATCTCAGTGCCCTTCCTCCATTCTCATCTCAGTGATCTCCACAGTCCAGCACTGATCTCTGACATATGCCTCATACTGACGACTTAACACCCACCATCTCCCTCAGCCTGCCTCAACCGCAGGCACGGCTAGGCACCCGCTCTTTGCTGTCAATCAAGCTTCCCCTCGTAGACACACATTGCTTCAAAGAATATGCATGCAGCCGAACAATGCAATGAATGCAACACGCATGCATGCACTTTTGATCCCTAAAGAAACGCACTTGCAAGCTGATGCACAAAACACATGCACACATACATTAATTTCTTACAGGTTCTATTGGCTAGTAAAGAGATCAAAACCTCCACTCCCCCTTATCAGTATTTAAAATTGATATAACCTCTACTGAAAGATGAAAGTGTACGTTGCATCAGCACTGCAGAGAAAATAATCAGGATGTTAGGCATGGCACAAAGCAAACCACGTACATATTATCTTTTTATCTGTGGTAGTATTTCCTGTCAAGAGTCGTGAGCAGGCGATTTAAATGTTATTTAAGATGGTGCTGGCACAGTGGAATTATATCATTTAAAGGTTATGAGAACATCTGGTGTTAGGGTCACACTGGCAGCCCAAACATCAACTTCAGTACTCAGGGCCAACTTAATGAGATATGGTCAACATTCAGGAAGCAGTGTAGCACATCAGCGGGGTCTGGAATAAATCTGTGTTTCTGGCAGCGTTCAACAGGAGGTGACCCTGCTGCTCAGTGGTACAGCTGGACCAGAGTCGAGGACGTCAAATTAACGGCTAACTCGGCGCAACATGCTGAGAAAATGTGACCCTGCTCTAGAATGATGACGAAGGCAGACCGCTGGAATATCCCGAGAATGTGATGTTACACAAAAATACCCATAATCCAATACTGGTGTGGAACAAATGCCATTATCTGTGCCTGAGTTCCAGCTAAAGGTCGCCAAACAAACAAACCCTCAAACAGATAAGCCATTGTTTGTTCATTGACATTGTGCTGAACTAAAATGGCCTCCCAGTATCACAGAACCGGCCGGGCTCTGTCTCCTGTTCTCCATCATGAGCACCTTCAGAAACTCTAGTCTGCAAGAGGGTCAAACAAACTGGTGGCAGATTCAGAGGTGCTGTTCCCCTGTGTCCCCTTTAAGTCCAGGTCACATTCACTCTCATCACCACATCCCACACTAAGGGTGATGACTAGCCAGTTGAGGAATGTAGCAGGCAGTGTGACACGCCGGGAGGCTGACCAGGTATCCTTTTACCCCCCTCAAGCAGCTGACAGACACATTGGAGCAACATTGCGCTTCTATTAAATGACATTTAAAAGTTTAATCAGCTCCAATGGGCGACTGTTAGCGAACAAGGGGGTCATTGTTTAAGTGGGTAATGGTGCTGGCACTGTCGTCGTGTGTGTGGAAGCGGACCAAGAGCACTGGAGGCAAATCAGGTGAGCCGGAGTGATTGATAGAAGAGAACACACCACCGGCTGTCGTTTACAGCAGTGTTATTAGGCTTGACAATGTGTGACAAGTGTTAAAACTATCAAGCTGTGGTTTTATAGAGGGTTATGTGTCAGACAACTTTTTGGCCGGGCCCTGTGGCTTCCACAAATTGCCATATTTACATTTCAGTCTTTGTATGGATTACACAAATTATTTATGATGTGTAAATTGGTGAGCTTTAGAGGCGCTAGTACACATATTTTGTTACGTTTAGACAGAGCCAGATCAGCTGTTTTCCTTTTTCCAGTCTTTATGCTAAAATCTAAGCTAACTTGGCTGCTGGCTCTGGCTTCATATTCAGAAACATACAGCATTAAGAAATAAACGAAATAAGTGATTTCCCCAAATGTCAAAGTATTCTTTTAACCAATGCCACTTGTACAAATCACAATCATGTATTTTATGATTATGATGCATTTGTATAATAGCCTATATTGATTAAGGCAGATGAAAGGTCATAGCCATTGACATTTGGTATAAACAGCAGCCATAAAGTACGTCTATGAAATAATAATAATGCAAAAAAACATTTGAGGATTTTACTGTAAAATCT